TATTATATATATATATTATATATATATTATATATTATATATATCTTTTGTTTTAAATTCAATTTAATGCAATGTATTTTAGTTTTTTCTAAATTCTTTTGATTTTTAAAAATATTTATATTAAATACAACAACATCAAGTCTTTATCCAACTACGCGGGGTCGCTGCTGAATCTTGTTCTCCAATTATGTTTGGTTAAGAGCAAATTCTCATTTAGATTTAATATAAAATGTTAGTTCCTGATATTTTATAACTAACTTTTTTAGGTCTACCTTTACCCTTCTTAACATATGTTAAATCTTATACATCTACTCTCTTTACTGGGTCATCAGAGATCGTCATTTTATGTGACCAAATCATATAAGGTGACTCCCTCTAATCTTATTTGTCCACAGGAGCTACTCAAACCTTTTCATGTATATGTTCATTTCGTATATTGTTTTTAGAGTAAAGCCACTATCCACCAGAGCATCCTCATCTCTGCAACACAACTTAATATTATGCCTATCTTTTAATGCCCAGCATTCTGTGCATTAAAGTATTGTAGGTCTACAATCATAAATATTTTTTATTAAATATATGATTAATTACACATAACATATGCATGTTATATCACATAATATGTTTAGTAAAAAGTGTGTACTTCATACTAATATAATAGTTAAAAATAACTACCTCAAACTCCTATGACGTGTGAATATATATATATATATATATATATAACTGGCCTGTTCTTTTCAACCCAGACGTATTCAGTGGTTTACTGATTGAACAATTGATTTTTGTCGGTTTCATCCAGTTCAATATGAAGCCGATTTTTAAGTTGTATCGGACTGGCTACCCGACCGGTTCAAAGTTGAACCGGCTGGGCCATTTGTATTTTTAAAGTGTAAAATTTTTTAAAACTAAAATATTATATAAAAAATTACTTTAAAAGGCAGTATAAAAATTAGGATGTCTTGGACTTCATTTAACATGTTTTTCTTAATGCTTTCTAAAACAACTTTTTAGCATAAAAATTATTCTTATACTAAATTTTTTTTTTTTAGAAAACAACAAAAAAGTCATCGCAAACGAGTGCCTCCTATTCTCAAGATGAATAAACTATTTGTCACTTTGCTTAGATATAATGTATTATTAATAGTCTTGAATAGAAGTATGGACAAAGATATCTGATTATTAAATTGATATGATAGTGTGAAACCTGATCACAAAGAACAAGAATTATAGAATTATATTGCATGATAAGATGACAAATGCAATAATTTATTTTGGAATCTAATTTAAATAAACATAATATTAACCTTCATTCTGAAATTGAGTTGGTTAGATTCGCAAACTATATTTATAAAAATTATGCAACTATCAACCCCTTCACCTAACACAAATAAATAATAATATGAAATTATTGTTACTATATCTTTCCATTTCCCTATTTCATCATTCTAAATTTTAAATTGATTTGGCATCATATTATCCTATTATTATTATTGAGAAGGCATATATACTTATAGATAATAGATATATATGATTGTTGAAATTTGATCCATCAAAATTCTTAAATTTATTTTCAACTAGTGTGAATGAATTCAAGTAGCAGTATGCGTGAGTTAAGTCATCTGAGTCAGCTTTGAGCCGAGTTTAATAAATTAAGGAGTCAAATTTAAGCCAACTCTAACTCAACTCCTAAGCTTGCGAGCCAACTAATTTAAAAATATAAATATAAAATTAACTTAAGATATATTAATATTAAATCACAATATTTCTAAAAATGTTTATATATTACATCTCACTTTTTATTATTATTTTGAGTCCGGTCATGATCCTCTGATCTTTTATTATTATTTTTCATAGTTCTTTTAAAGGCTTTACAACAATATTTCACTTTCACTCAATCTTGAACTTTGACTAATTTTTATTGTAAAATAAACATAAAAAAAAAAAATTAAAAACAATTAATGAAACTTTGACAATAACAAAATAAATTTAGAGAATTATGAGTTTGAAGCTAAAATAAACTTTGACCGTAGAAAAATCGCCTAAAACAAATTAAAGGTTCAATGAACTTCACCTGACGGCAATTTGACTCGATTTACTTAGAACTTAATACATAATATAAATACTTTTTATTTTGGAAAAATTTGGGGCAGAGTCCTTTTCATATCAAAAGAGATTACTTAAGATAAATACTAATTCAATTGCTTTTTTTTTAAACTTATTCAATTACTTTTATTATTGGATTAAGACTTTTTTGGACTACTAAAAAAAATCAAGTATGCAAAAATATAAAAGCTACCAAAAAAATGCTGGTTCCATGTAAACAGAAGCTAAAGGCCATAATAATTTCAAAAAAAAAAACATTTTTCGCATAAAGATTCTACATTTTTTAAAAAATAAATAAAATTGCTTCAAACGAAACCTAACTTTGTCTAACCAAACAACTCTAATCCTTTTTGTAAGATTTCAAAGGAAAGAGGCAGCTCGCATTAATCTATTGATTTAAATAAGAGGTCATGAAATTAAAATTTGGTGTTTTAGTTTGCTTTAATTGACTCAAAAGTTGAAAAAAAAAAAAAAGATAAATCATGATATTGTTGTCCTGTAGATGCGATAAGAATCCAGGCTGGAGAGACAACATGACCAAAAGTGCTAAATGGCACATGAATCCAGCTTCAT